GAGAGAGAGGGTATGTGCATGCGCAGGGGCAGGAAAGGGAGCAGAGGGAGAGGGAGAGAGAGCATCTCAAGCAGACTCCCTGCTGAGTACGGAGTTCCATGTGGGGATTGATCTCACAACCCCGAGATCATGACCTGAGCTGAAACCAAGAGTCGGCCACTTAACCTACTAAGCAACCCAGGTGCCTGCTTAAAGATTTTATTTTTAAGTAATCTCTACTTAAAGACGCACAACGTGGGTCTTGAACTCATGACCCCAATATCACGTGCTCCCCCAACTGAGCCATCCAGGTGCCCCAAAGCCCCAAAAAGCTTTAGCTTTTTTATGACTGCATTTTCTCTCCTCTCTTAGCATATCAGTTTTACTTCCTCTGGAAATTTTTTAGTGGTTTCCTAGAGTTTGTGGTACCCATTTACTAATCCAAGTCCACTTTGGAACACCAAAGCACCTGTCCAGTAGTGCAGGTAACCTACACCAGTATTCCCAGATCCTCCCTCGCAGCTGGTAGAGCACTACTGTCTCTCATATCACTGCCTATAGGCTATAATCATCAAATACATTGTTGCTGCTATGACTTTGAACAAAAACTCTGTTCAACTGGTAACAATTGGAATAAGAAACATTTTATTTTACCTTCATTTATTCCTTCTGACGCTCTTTATGTAGGTCTGACTTTATGACCTTTTATCTCTCTCTGAAGAACTCTAACATCTTGCAAGTCAGTGCCGTTGTTGATAAATTCCCTCAGTTTTTTCTGGGAAAGCCTGTATTTCTCCTTCACTGTAAGGGATACTTTAGCTGGTGTAGAAGTCTAGGTATGTGTTGCTTTTATCTTTCAATGCTTGAAATATTTCACACTGTGCTCTTCTTGCTTGCATGGTGTCCGAGGTGAAAGCCAATGAAGTTCCTACCTTTGTTCCTCTATAGGTAAGGTGTTTTCTTTTCCCTCCCTCAGATTTCGTCCTTCATTTTCTTTTTCTTTTTTTAAAGGTTTTATTTATTTATTTGAGAGAGAGCGAGCAAGCAAGGGGAGGGGCAGAGGGAGAGGGAGAGGGAGAAGAAGGCTCCCCTGCCTAGCAGGGAGCCAGACTCCCATGACTCTGGTGGGATCATGACCTGAGCCGAAGGCAGATGCTTAACCGACTGAGCCACCAGGTGCCCTGAGTCTGGTTTTTTGTTTGTTATCTTTTTTTCTTTGTTCGTTTGTTTTGTTTATTAAATACCACATATGAGTGGACGCGTCTGGTATTTGTCTTTCTCTTTCTCTGTCTTGGTTCACTTAGCATTATGCTCTCTAGATCTGTGTTGTGGCAAATGGCAAGATCTCATTGTACGTATATGCCACATCCTTCATATCCATTCCCCTATCCATGGACACTTGTGCTCCTTCCATATTTTGGCTACTATAAATAACGCTGCAGTAAACATAGGGGTGCATATATCTTCTTGAATTACTGTTTTCATATTATTTGGGTAAATACCCAGTAGTAGAACTACTGGATCATATGGTAATTCTATTTTTAATTTTTTGAGAAACCTCCATACTGTTTTCCACAATAACTATACCAGTTTGCATTGGCATCCAGGTGTAGATTTTTTAGTTGTTCTTGGTGTTCTCTGAGCCTTCTGGGCTTGTGGTTTGGCGTCTGTCATTAGTTTATAAAATTCTCAGTCATGATTGCTTTAAGTATTTCTTCTCTTCCCTTCCCTCTTCTTCTTCTGGCATTCCCATTACATGCATGTTACACCTTATGGCATTGCCCCAAGGCTCTTGGATTTTCTATTCTGTTTTTCTTTTTCTTTTTTTTTTTTTCGTTTTTTCTTTACTTTTCAGTCTGGGAATTTTTTGCTGACACACATTCAAGCTCATAGAATTTTTTTTTTCTTTTTAAATATTTTATTTATTTATTCACAAGTAGGCAGAGAGGCAGGCACAGAGAGAGAGGGAAGCAGGCTCCCTGCTGAACAGAGAGCCCGATGTGGGGCTCTATCCCAGGACCCTGAGATCATGACCGGAGCCAAAGGCAGAGGCTTAACCCACTGAGCCATCCAGGCACCCTGGTCATAGAATTTTTTCCTTGGCCATGTCCAGTCTACTGATGAGCCCATCAAAGGCATTCTTCATTTCTGTTACAGAAATTGTTTTAAAGACTTTTTTTATTTGAAAGAGAGAGAGAGAATGAGCACGAGCAAGAGGAGGGGCAGAGGGAGAGGCCCAAGCAGACTCCCCGCCAAGCGCAGAGCCCAACATGGAGCTTGATCCCAAGGACCTGAGATCGTTACCCGAGCCAAAGTCAGATACTTAACTGACAGAGCCACACAGGCGCCCCCAGAACCTTTTTTTTTTTTTTTTTAATTTCCAGCATTTCCTTTTGATTCTTTCTTAGAGATTCCATCTCTCTGCTTACATTATTCATTTCTTCTTCCATGTTGTCCACTTTCCCACTAGAGTCCTTAGCAAATCGATCATAGTTACTTGAATTCCTGTTCTGATAATTCCAACATCTCTGCTGTCTGGTTCTGACACTTGCTCTCTCTTCAGACTATGTTTTTGCCATTTAGTATGCCTTGTGATCTTTTGTCGGGAGCCAGATGTGTGTGCCATTTTACCTTTGTCTGGTGAGATGTTGGGTTGTACTTACTGTTTCCTGAAGTTGTAGGTATCAGAGATTAACATTTCCTTTGGTGTCCTTGTTTTTGTCTCTCCTGTTGTCTTTGGGTTTCTAGAGACTTCTTAAATAAAGTCTGAAACTTCCAATTCTTTCTGTGGTTGTTCGGTTCTCCCTGTTACCACATAGGAGCATTGTACCACCTGCAGTGGTCAAGTGCAAGGGAAGAGAGAGTGTTCTATAGTCCCATGTTTAGTTCTTGGCTTTGGAGTGAGCCTGTGCCCCTGGACCTTCAAGAGTGCTCCTTAGGCTCTTCTCGCCCCCTTTAAATGAGATAGGAAGGTTAAAAAGGGCTGGAGTTGGGTATTTACCTTTTGCCAAGTTGGTTAGGTTCTAGGAAAACCCAAAATGGTTAGGCTCTGGTAAAACAGGCTCTTTTGAGGACATGCTTTATTAGGAAGAACACCTCTGGGTATACTTCAGAATGACTACTTTTCCCATCTCTGTGTCAGAAGTACGAGGGGGTTTTTCTCTGGTCTTCACTTTGAGAGCCTGGTAGACGCTTGAAGGTGAATTCAAAAGTGGGCCCCCACACTCAAGGTTAAATCTCCTTGAAATTTTGAATTTGCAAGCTTGTTCGCACTGAGCTTCCAGCAATTGGTCAATTATAGTTTAAGTTTTCCAGTGGTACTTGCCCAGCAGAGGCTTCTGTTCCCAGTAAGCTCTGGTTCTCTGTGCTTGCCTATTTCTCCAGGCTTGGGGGCAGTGGTTTGCCCTGGGACCTCAGTTCACTGAGGCATCTAAGAAGAGTTGTTGATGTTTTGTTTTCTTTCAGCTTTTTTTCTTGTCGCAAGGACAGGAGTGACAGTTTCCAAGCTCCTTACATGTCAGGCCTGCCTTAATTTTTCAAGACATGGATTCCAGAACCCAGTTAGAGACAGGAATTCTAAAGTAAATCAAGTGGAATTAAAATCCTGGCCTTGTCACTGGCTAATACTTATATGACTTGGTAAAGTTACTTACCTGTGCCTTGGTTTTCTCATCCATAAAATGGGGTTAGATTAAAGGGTATTTATTTTATAGCATTGCTGTGAAGATGAAGTCAGAAAAATGCACGTTGAGCCCCAAGCAAAATGTCTAGCATAGAATCGCAGCTCAGTAAGCATTAGCTGTGATCACATTATCTGGTCCCCACGTGTCCTGTGTGCGGTCACCGCTGGCTTCTTTTTTTTTTGCCTGGGACACCTCTCCTCTATCTATCTGATTCTACCCGTCCTTCAAAACATTGTTTATTTCTTCTGTTCACAAAGCATGTTCAGGACCCCTTATCCCTTTCAGATAAGGGGACTATATAATTTATCATCCAAGTCTGGGACACTTAAAAAAATTTTTTTTAAAGATTTTATTTATCCATTTGAGAGAGAGACAGTGAGCGAGAGCATGAGAAGGGTGAAGGTCAGAGGGAGAAGCATACTCCCCGTGGAGCTGGGATCCCGACGTGGGACTCGATCCTGGGACTTCAGGATCATGACCTGAACCAAAGGCAGTTGCTTAACTAACTGAGCCACCCAGGTGCCCCTAGTCCGGGAGACTTTTGATAGTGACTATTAATAATTACTCCAGGACAGCAGTCCCTGGAAAACTGGGAGATCTGGTCATCTCCCTTTTAGATGCCTCTTCTCTAGTTTTCCCTTGCCCCCAGTGTCTGCTCACATCATTGTTCACACTGCTGTCCTTGTGCTCTCCTTGTCTTTTACCCTCCATCCTGTAAGTCCTTGAGGGCAGGCATGGTGCCTCACTTGCAGCCATGGCATGGGATCTCTCACGGGGTTGTGTGCACCGTGCACACGCACACGTGCACACACGCACTGAAATGATGAGAGTGATCATGCCGTGTTCATTTCTACCTTTCTCTGTAATTGTTTCTACCTTGAATGTGATCCATGCCTTCTGCGTCCTTCAGATAAAGCTGTTTTCTACAGCTCACATTCTGTCTCTTCTGGGAAGCCCCCTTTCCTTACGGCACCCCACCATCTCTGCTTTCTCTCATCTCCTGTACTTACTGTTGCTGCGTATATTATCTTCTGTTCCCTGGGCGGGCTCTTCTGCAGTTACACTCAGCTCCCCAAGGACAGGCACCGTGTTGTCCCTGTTTCCAGGGTCTTCCCCAGCATGATCAAGCACAGGGCTGGCTGCCACCAGCTCCTCAGGAAACCCGTGTTGGTCTCTGGTTGTTCAGTCTGGTGCCCATTCACCGGGACCTTCCCGAGCCTGGTCAAATGCTGCTAGTTGCTGGTGAGAGCAGGCCTTCTGTAACCGAGAGAGGAGCTCAGGGACTCGGGGGCAGACTTTGGTTTGGGGGGCAATCCTCATTTTCCCTCTGTTCTTAAGTCCACAGTTTTGTTTGTGAGTGAGATGGAGGCTGATCTGTCTGGCTTTAACATCGATGAACCCCGTTGGGACCAATGCACTTTCCTGGGACGGGTGAAACACTTCTTCAATATCACAGACCCACGCACTGTCCTGGTACCAGAGCGGGAGTTGGACTGGGCCAAGGTGATGGTGGAGAAGAGCAGGTGAGCAGTGAGCGGAAGGGACTCGAGGCCCTGGAGCCGCACGGGTGGATCCCCTGGGGAGGAGGTGGAAACCGAATATGGGGGAATGGACAGAGCTCTCAGGCAGGAGGCGGCAGAGTGACTTGGGGCAAGGGGTCTGGGCTGTAACTCTGTTGTCCTTGGGGGGCAGAATGGGGGTCGTGCCCCCAGGCACTCAAGTGGAGCAGCTGCTGTACGCCAAGAAGCTGTACGACTCAGCCTTCCACCCTGACACCGGGGAGAAGATGAACGTCATTGGCCGGATGTCCTTCCAGGTCCCCGGAGGCATGATTATCACGGGCTTCATGCTTCAGTTCTACAGGTAGAGAGAGCCTGGGAGTAACGCAGTGGGCAGTGTGGCCACTTGGGTCTGCCAGGCAGGGAGCCCTGTGGTGATGATAGTGATAGCCATCTCTATTGACCCCTTACCTAATACCAGGCACTGTGCTAAATTCTTTCCATGGATTACCTCGTTTAATCTTCTCATCAGCCCCACAGAGAAGTACTACTGTCATCTCAACTTTATAAGTGAAGAACTGAGGGTCTAGAGAGGTTATGTAACCTGTCCAAGTTCACACAGCCGGGAAAGATGGGTGCCTGGATGTTAGCCGAGGCAGTTGTCTCCAGAACTCTCAATGAATAAGCCATCCTAATTCCCTCTTTAGAAAGTACTTACTTAATAATGAAATTTTAATGTATTTTTATTTATTTTTATTTTTTATTTTTATTTTTTAAAAGATTTTGTTTATTCACTTGACAGAGATCACAAGTAGGCAGAGAGGCAGGCAGAGAGGAGGAAGTAGGCTCCCCGATGAGCAGAGAGCCTGATGTGGGGCTCGATCCCAGGACCTTGAGATCATGACCTGAGCCAAAGGCAGAGGCTTTAACCCACTGAGCCACCCAGGTGCCCCTGTATTTTTATTTTTAAATCTATTTATTTTACTTATTTTTTGCAGAGAGAAAGTACATGAGTGGGTCAGGGGGCCATGGTAGTGGGGAGGGGCAGAGGGAAAGGCAGAGAGAAAATCCCAAGCAGGCTGCACACCCAGTGCAGAGCCCGATTTGGGGGCTCAATCTCATGACCCTGAGATAATGACCCGAGCCAAAATCAAGAGTTAGACACTTAACTGACTGAGCTGGTCAGGTGCCTCTAATGTTTGTTTGTTGTTTTTTTTTTTTTTTTCCAAGATTTATCTATTTGACAGAGAAAGACACAGTGAGAGAGGGAACACTGGCAGGGGGAGTATGAGAGGGAGAGGGAGAAGCAGGCTTCCTGCTGAGCAGGGAGCCTGATGTGGGGCTCGATCTCAAGGACTCCAGGATCATGACCTGAGCCAAAGGCAGACGCTTAACGACTGAGCCACCCAGGCGCCCCTCTAATGTATTTTTGTAATGTAATGTCTTAGTAAAAAATACAGGAAGATGAGCCCCCCCCCCCCGCCCCCCCCAAATACGAAGACCCTTTCAGCCCAGCGGGGAGAGAATAAACTTTCTCTTCAGCTGTTGGAAATTTTACTCCTCCCCCTTCCTCACCTCCCTCTGCTCCCCTCCCCCATGCATCCATTTGTCTGTTAGTGAGCCAGGCCTTGGGCCAGGTGTGGGGAATATTAAGACTCAGCCCCTCCCCTCAAGGAACTTTCAGTTTTGTTCAGCAGACCAACAAGTAAACAGTTATAGTCCAGCTTGCTAAGTGGTAGGTCGGAGGGAGAGTATGGGGTTGTGAGAGCAGGGAGCATAGAATGACTCACTGTTCCAGGAAGGGCAGGGGAAGGGTCAGGAAGGTTCCCGAAGAAGCAGTGACCTCTCAACAGAGCAGGATTTAGCCATGGATGGAAGGGGTGTGTGTGTGTAGACATTCCAGGCAGAGGGACCAATCTGTGCAAAGTCCCTGATGCATGAAACAGCATGGGAACAGTTTGGGACACAGCAGGTCGTCTGGTTTGACTGGTGTGCCCCAAGCCCTCCCTTCCATTGGATTCTTCTTTGCCTCTCTGGGCCTCCCTTACGTAGGACGATGCCGGCGGTGATCTTCTGGCAGTGGGTGAACCAGTCCTTCAATGCCTTAGTCAACTACACCAACAGGAATGCAGCTTCCCCCACGTCCCTCAGGTAGGAGACTTGAACCCCAGGCTGTCCATGTGGGTCTGGAGCAGATGGCTGTCCTCTTGTCTTCAGGAAAACAGCCCTTCTAAAGGGTTCTTGGGCTGTCTTCTCTGGATGAGGCTTGTACGGGGCTGGTGACCAAGTTCCCCTTTTTAGGGTTTGCAAGTATTTTCTGAGGCTGACTAGGAGAGTATCTTCCTAGACCAATTCAAAGTTTATTCCTTCATTCATTCTCAAATAGTTTTTTTTTTTTTTTTAAGATTTTATTTATTTATTTATTTGAGAGAGAAAGAACATGAGCAGAGGGAGAGGGAGAAGCAGGCCCCCTGCTGAGCAGAGAGCCCGATTTAGGACTCAGTCCCAGGACCCTGAGATCATGACCTGAGCCAAAGGCAGATGCTTCACCCACTGAGCCACCTGGACACCCCCTCATCTATGTCTTGAGTAGGTTTTAAGTGCCAGGCATGGTTCCAGGGTCCTTGTTCTTGTGGAATTTAGGGTCTTTTAAGCAAACAAGCACAGCAATTTTAGGTTGTGGCTGCTGTGCTTAAGGAAACAAACAAGTGGCAAGACAGCAAACAGCAGAGGGGCATCTGCGTGGATGGGCTTGTTGCGGAAGTCTTTTCTGTGGAGCCCATATTTCGACTGACTTCTGAAGGATAAGGATTTAGCCTACGGAAGAATTCCCCAGATAGGGAGCAGCAGCAGGTGAAGGTTCTGAAGCAGAGAAGAGTTTGGGGTGTTAAAGGTACCGAAAGGAGGCCGAGGGGACTGGAACACTGTGTGTGTGTTGAGGATGGGGAAGGTCACAGGATGAGACAGGTCAAGTTTCAGGCAAGAAGCCTCATTTCCAGAATTTCTCAGTCAACTCAATATCTTGCCCTCAGCCGGCAGGGCTCCCCACTCTCAAGCGTGTCTCTCCTCCACTAGGCAGATGGCCCTTTCCTACATCACAGCCACAACCACTGCGGTGGCCACTGCTGTGGGCATGAACATGTTGACCAAGGTACTGTCTGGGGCTGCTGGGGGCATGGTGGCCGCTAGGGGGCAGCAAAGTCCTAGGGAAAACATCCCCTAGGCCTGGCGCTGTTGTGCTTGTCTGGGTGAGTCCGTTATGGCCAGAGCCCAGCCAAGTAGGGGGCAATGTAGCAGAGGTATCCCCAGGTTAGTTTTTCTCGGGTCTTTGAGGGAACGTGGGTTCCTAGACCAAGAGTCTGGATCAGTGTGGCAGTACCAAGCTCTGATTTATTTTGTAGTCCTTAAGCCCCCTCCCCTCCCATCTTCCCGTGTGAGCCCTGTTGTTCCCTTCCCCCAACAGAGAGCTCCACCCCTGGTGGGCCGCTGGGTGCCCTTTGCCGCTGTGGCTGCTGCTAACTGTGTCAACATCCCAATGATGCGACAGCAGTGAGTGTGGGGATCCCATTTCTTCCCTACAAACCACAGGGTAGTGGGGCAAGGGCAGGAAACCAAGGCAGTGGGTGGCTTTGGGGGACCGAGGTGGGTGTGGGGAGGGCTGCTGGCCTATACCTCTGAAGGGTCCCAAAGGATAGGCTGCTCCGAAGGTGATGGCTGTGGGAGTGGCAGCTGACTTAAGTTTAATCTGTGATGAGTGCTGTGGGAGTCATTGTTTGGATGGTGTGGGATGGCGGGGAGTAGGGTAGACCTGTGGGGGCTCATCCGAGATCATGTCCTTTCAACTGCAACTGGCTTTTAGTTGTGAACTCTCCCTACTTCCAAAGCCCTGGGGCCGGCTTACAGAATGCGATGTAGCAGAGCGAGGTGTCCAAAGATAGAACAGAGCCAAGAAGCTTTGAAAGAAGCCAGAAGAGTAGATAGATGTTTTCCAGGCACTGGGCTCTAAGCTTCGCAGCAGGAAAGGTAAAAGGAGAAACCTGTGTGTCTTGCAATGCTTGTTTTTTTGGCGAGAGAAAGCATGGCTATTCCTCTATTGTCTGACCTAATGATGTAATATACTCAGGCTCTCCCTGATAGCACCTGGGAGGTATCATGTGCCGCCTAAGTGTACGCTGTTAATGCTCTGGTCATCATCATCATCACCATCACCGATATGTACAAGCCATGTTTTCTTGGAACTGCCAGCAAATGGGCACTGTCACAACAGCTGTTGCAGAAAGAGCACAATCCCAGAATAGTCAGGTGTACACGTTCCTCTCCTCTTTCCCTCCCATCCAGGGGCTCCTTCCCAACAAACGAAGGAGCCCCAGCCACCTGCCTGGTCTGGGGATGAGTGCTGTCAGGAGCTGGCCTGAGAATAAGTCAGTACAGCTAGTGTTTGTAGAGCAGTCACTCCGTCAGGTGCTGGACTAAGCTCTCTGCAGGCATCATCCCCTTTAATCCTCACCAGCCCTCTGCAGTGGGTGCCACGATTAGCCCCATTTTGCAGATGAGGATAACTGAGTCCTCAGAAGGATCAGGAAACTTTTGCTCAAGTTCGGAAACTTACTCTGCTGTTTCAGGATTTGACCTAGGCCGTCTGAGCCCAGGCCTACCTCTCTTAGCTTCTGAGATACCACTCTGTGGAATGCATAAGGAAGATCAAAGGACCAGGCTGCAGGGGCTGGCTTCCCAGAGCTTGAGTGCGCTGGCCTTGGTCCCCTGCTGTGTCCCACTGCTGGCAGGCCTCCAGCACCCTTTTCCCAAGTCCAGCAACTCCTATCTGTGTTTAGGGAACTCATCCAGGGGATCTGCGTGAAGGACAGGAATCACAATGAGATCGGTCATTCCCGGGTGAGCAGAGGCATCCCTTTGGGGTGGGAGGAGGGAATTCTGTCTTCTACCCTGTCCTGTTCTTAGTAGTCAGAGCAGGCCCGGGTTCTATTACAGGATCTCCCTGATTCCATTCTCATTCTCCTCGATTTCCTTATATTTCTTGTTCAGAACAGGCTTGTCATGTCTTTTCTCCATCATTTCTGGTCCTGAAGCCATAAAGGTCTAGCTAGGTGAGAGAGGGTTGGGTGAGGACCTAGCTCCTGGTGGGTCCATCCCTTCCCCTTTATCATCTCAGACTTGACCCTGACCCTGAGCCTTGACCTCACCCTCTGGTACAGCCCGTGGCTACTGGATAAGGTCATTCCTGACAACTTACTCTTTTCTGCCCTCAGAGAGCTGCGGCCATAGGCATCACCCAAGTGGTTGTTTCTCGGATCACCATGGCAGCCCCTGGCATGAGTAAGATAGAGAAGCCCTACCCTCCTGGGGGGACCCTGGAACACGTGATGGAGGCCTCAGCCCACACTTAGCTTTTGTGGCGATGGGGCCCCAGCCTCTACAGCCGTGCTTCTCAAACTGGCTTTTCCCACTGCAATACAAGAATGATAATTCCGTGATGTGATAGAGATTGTAGCTAATGCTACAGGGGTAGTGCTATTACAATATATAAATGTACCAAATCCACACGTTACACATCTTACATCTACGTAGTGCTGAATGCCGAAACCCATGAGAGAACCACACTGTAGTTCTAGGAACATCAGTTAATCAGAGATCTGGCGAAGAAAGTTCTTTTCATTAAGTCCCTTCAATGTGCTGGACACAGGGCAGGGAGACAGTGGTAAAGAAATCCTCTGCCATAGTTTTGCTCCTAGCAGGGGTATGTTACAGACTGGGATACGAGATTTGTTTGCATGAGCCTTAAAAGATTTGAATTTTGAGAAGGACACTTTGGGCCCGCGGCTCGTGTCCTATTATAGGTGTGCAGGTGGAAAAGTCTGGAAAGCACCCTTCTGCTGGCACTTGGGGGTCAGTCTGGGGGTGGCCATGTCTACACAGTCTTCTATTCCAAAAGTGTGTTCTGGAACTTCAGGGGAGGTGGGTCACTGGTCTGATTTTGGAGAGGGGTCTTGGGAAGAGTCTGACAGCCCTTCTCCCAGCTTCTCCCTGGTCTCTCGTAGTCTTGCTGCCGGTCGTCATGGAAAGGCTGGAAAAGCTGCATTTCATGAAGGTGAGTGGGGTCCTCTTTTGCATCTGCCTTACCCGGAGCCCCTCAGCCATACCTACACTTCAGAGCTTCTGATCTTCGTCCTTTCCTCTAGCTACAGGCCTTCATCTTGCTCAAATGGGGCCAGTGCCGGCCCCACCAGCTGCCTGCTTTAGAGGTCATGGCCGCTTGTGTGGCCTTGTCTGCAGAGAGGAAGAAGAGCTCTCTTCTCCTCTCCTTCACGGCTAGGAGTTTTGTGCCCGTGGGTTTCTAGCTGGCCGATCAGAGGTAGGCAGGCATGGGGTTCGCGTTAAGATCTCTAAGTCTCATGTCGTCTTTCCTTCGATTTTGTGCAGAAAGTCAAGGTCCTGCACGCCCCGTTGCAAGTTTTGCTGTGTGGCTGCTTGTGAGTAGCGTGTTTTCTGGGTTTGGATTCTGTGATAGCTGGGGCACAGTAGCATGTTTTCTGGGTTGGGTTCTGTGACAGCTGGGGCACCTGAGACCTGTCTTCTTGTGTTGCCTGTGTTGGGGAACGTGTACTTTTTTCTGTCACTTCCATAGTGCCTGAGCTCGGAACACCCATGGGCCATCCGGGGAGTTCTTGCCCCATCTTTGTTGAGGGCATCAGGCTGGCTAGGCGCTGTGCCCAGAGCCACGTGGAGAGCAGAGTGCTTGGGTACCCTCTTGTCCCGGTGTGGCCTCTGATCTTCAGACCGGAGAAGAGGCGAAAACCACAATACAGCCCCACCATAAAAATTCTAGGGGCACCCGGCTGCCTCGGTCAGGAGGGCCTGTGACTCTTGATCTCAGGGTTGCGAGTTTGAGCCCTGCATTGGGTGTAGAGATTACTTAAAAATAAAGAATTAAAAAAAAATAGCAATAAAGAAAGACATGTTAGCCAATGGCCCGATAGTCACATCACAGCATATCAATGTATCAGATCAGCGGGCCAGGCACCTTGCCTGCCCACAATGCCATCTGGCCATGATGTCTCAATATAAATTAAGTAAATAAATAAATACGCTCAGACATAAAAAAAGAGGGGGCGGGGCGCCCGGGTGGCTCAGTGGATTAAGGCCTCTGCCTTCGGCTCAGGTCATGATCCCAGGGTCCTGGGATCGAGCCCCACATCGGGCTCTCTGCTCGGCAGGGAGCTTGCTTCCTCCTCTCTCTCTCTGCCTGCCTTTCTGCCTACTTGTGATCTCTATCTGTCAAATAAAATAAAATAAAATCTTAAAAAAAAAAAAAAAAAAAAAGAGGGGGCAGCTGGGGCTGTCAAGTGTCCCAACCTCGCACAAAAGGAAAACACCATAAGTCATGGCAGCATGCTCCAGCCAGCGACTGGCCACATCCTAGCATCAGGCACATTTGTGAGGCCATGGGGCTAATTAATGACAACAGTACCCACCAACACGTGTGGAGTGTGTCCTGTGTGTCCCCACTGTGCTCATGCTCCATGCCTATCATTTCACTTAAGCCCCTCAGCCCCGGAGGTCTAGGTCCTGTCATCATCTCCTTTTACAAATGAAGAACCCCAGGCTCTGTAGCTCATAATTGCTGGAGTTCGGGTCAAGTCCCCGGCAATCTCCCGCACCACGCTACCTTCTGCCCGCTGAAGTGAGTGGAACCACTACATGAGTGGTTCCCCCAGGCTGGGCACCATCCCCAGGTCATTTCCTCTGAGCTTGGCGACAGCCCTGCAGAGTAGACCCCCGTGTCCTCCCTCTGCTGGCTCAGGGCTCACTCGCCCGGGATTGCAGAGCGAGTGAGTAGCCAAGCTGGGATCCGAACCCTGGTTGGTCGGAGTCCCACGTGCTGTAAGACAGTGCCCCAGCCCTGAAGCACCCGGGGACCTTAGAAATCCTCTCCAGCCCTTCCTCAGGCCTCCTGCGTCAGTGTCGCTTTTTAATAAGCCCCCCGAGTTGCTCGTGTTTGCAGTGAGGTTGGAGAAACTGCTGTGTTCTGTTGTCTACCAACCTAGGGCTTGTGGCCGCGGGCACCGGCCCTTGGCTTTCATACCCTTCCTCCTCGGTGCTTGTGGCCTTCAGGGCCGCTGCTTGCACTGCCAGTGCCTTCGTAACCTTCACCTGCTTGAAGGACAGGTGGATGGGGGGTGAGGGCGGGGAGGTGGAGGGGGACCAATTTCATGCCATGCTGGAATGAGTATCCTGCCCTGGAGACCAGGAGGAGACTTGCAGGGAGGGGAGCCAGGGAGCAGCGGGGAAGGCATCTAGCTCCCTGCTTCTTTGTGGGACTCAGAGATGGGGTGTGAACAGGCCTGTGGGGAGATGCCCCTCACATTTGTTTCTCCTTCCTTCCAGCCTCATCTTCATGGTGCCAGTGGCTTGTGGGCTCTTCCCACAGAAATGGTAAGAGTCCTCAGTTCCTCACTTTACCGAATGCCCTGTCCCTGCTCTTCCTGACCTGCCTGCTACAGGAGACAAAGAGGGGCAGGAAGGGCAGCAGTTGTCCAAGGCCAAGTGACTATCAGCTTAAACTCTGAGCCTCTTAACCCTGGGGGATGGTAAACCAGACCAGAACTCTAAGGGGCGGAGGGATGAGTTGCTCCCTCCCAGTGGAGTGAGGGCCGCCCTGGAGAGAAGTGGGGGAGCAAGAGGAGACTTTCTGTCCCAGTTGATTAGGTACTCATTCTGGCTTGTGTTTGCCTGGGGATGGATGACTTGGACCGCTCTACTTCCCTCGTATGCCCGGGCAGGGAAGGGGTGTGCGAAGCAATGGTGGAAAAGGGAGACAAAGCATCAGACTGGGGGAGGGGAGAGGACGAGCTCCAGGAGACTAGGTGTAGCTTGGATGTACACTGAGAAGAGGCCAGGTTCCCTTGCTTTCATCTTCGTGTTTCAGTGTCTTCTGCAGACATCTCCTGTGTTGCAAGCACTGTGGCTTACAGTCCTACAGAGAAGATGGAAACTTAGCACCAGGGAGAATGAAGTCAGGCCTGAGTAGAAGTAAAAACAACACATTATGTTGTACAGAAGCCCTTTCTGATGGAAAAATCAGAAAGTGCTTCTTGGAGGTGACATTTGAGTTGGATTTTATCTGACAGTAATTTGCTGCTTGTCATAATCCCCTTCTTTTCTCTTCTCAGTGAATTGTCAGTTTCTTATCTGGAACCAGAACTCCAAGACACCATCAAGGCCAAGTATGGAGAACTTGTGCCCTACGTCTACTTCAATAAGGGCCTCTAAATGCCCCATCCCAGCAAGGATCAGTCTGTACTGATATTCACCAGTCCTTCCTTAGCTGCCTTGTACACCTGTGCCCTCATTGCTCTGCCAACAAGGCCTAAAGGTCAGGGTGGATTTGGGGGTGGGGTGGGGAGCCTCCTGTTTTCATCCAGGCACCTGGGTTATTGGACTCCAGGGGATAAAAGTGAACAAGGGGAGCAAAGACCAAGTCTTCTCTCTGCTACCTCCTACCCCCCAACTACCATCCTCTGAAGACCAGGAGCTGAGATTCCCTGAGGGAGAAGTTGCTGGAACCTGGGGGAGATACTCAAGCAAACCATTTGGAAAAATTTGGGGGGTGGGGAGAAACCATTAGGAAACCTTTGGGATTCTAGTTCCAGCCAGGACTGGGGAAGAGCCCCTGGGACAAAGGGAAGCTCCCACCCCTGTTTCTTCTTCCCTTCCTCCTCATCTTGTCTCACGCTATGGAAACTTTTGCCCCTGCAGTTCTAGCCAACCGAGAAAGGGGGAGGGAAGAAGTCTGTTGTCACCTTGGGGCTCTTCTTCATTCTTCCCCATTCTCCTCCCCAGTGCCCTCTTGTCAGAAAGTGTCTTTGGGAATGCTGCTAAACTTGGGTTGACCAAGCACCCAGGAGTTCTTAGTGCTAAAAAAAAAGGCCACTGCACGAGGCAACAAAGTGACACTGATTTTGTTCTCCTGTGCTAAAATCATGTCTGGTTTTACATCTGTTTAAAAGATAAATCCTAACTGTGTGTAAAAACTATGTATGTAGGTATTAATAACACATTTTAATGGGTATATTTCCCCAGCTGCCTCCCTTCCTCAGCCCATTGGGTTAAACACCAAAGACTGGTGTGTACTGAAATAGGAAAGGGGCGTTTTATCTGGATACCTCTGAAAACTAATCAGCCAGGACCAAAGAGCCTTAAAGGACACACAGCAAAGTGTAGCCACTTGCCCTTCCCATCTGGGCTGCTCTAGGTGATTTTTCAGGCTCGGGTGTGGTGGTCATGGGAGACCACTGTGGCTTACCTGGGATCAATGTCTGTATTGAGTTCTGTCTGGTAGAATTTATGACTATTCAAATGATATCACTGTGAATCAAATAAATTTCTTGAAAGAGCACAGTGAACTGTCTGCAGACTGAGTTAATAAAGCCTGGATGAAAAGCAGGATCTGGTCTTGCTTTGGCCTTGGGATGGAAGAGGTTACCGCAACGGTAAGGGGAACCTGTCTGAGGCCTGGAGGCCATTGTCGATTTCCCTTACTACAGAGGAAAAATCCACCTGTCTTTACTGGACACTCCAGAATGGGAACTGTGTTGTTTCAGAGCAGAAGTTGACAAACCATGGCTCAAGGGTCCAAATCCACCTGCTACCCATTTTTGTGTGCCTGGGAACTAAGAATGCTTTATATTGTTAAAGGGTAAAAAAACAAAGAAACAAACAATATGTGACAGAGACTCCCATGTATGTGGCATGCAAAACAAAATATTTGCTCCCTGGCCCTTTATACAAAAAGTTTCCCTTACTTTGGAACAGTGGTTTTTAGGACATGTCAGAGTCACGTGGATGAGTTGTTAAAACACAGATTGTGGGTCTAGTTATGTCTCCTGAGGCAAGGGAAACAAAAGCAAAAATAAACTATTGGTACTACATCAAAATAAAAAGCTGCACAGCCAAAGAAACAACAAAATAAAAGACAAGCTACTGAATGAGAGAAGGTATTTGCAAATGACATCTGATAAAGGGCTGGTATCCAAAGTACATAAAGAACTTATTACAACTCAACCCACAAAAAGCCAAATAATCCAATTGAAAGATGGACAGAAAAAGGGCACTGGCTGGTTCTGTTGGTAGACCATGTAGATCTTTATCTTGGGGTTGTGAGTTCAAGCCCCACACTGGGTGTGGAGATTCACAAAAAATAAAATTTAAGAAATGGGCAGAAGACATGAACAGACATTTCTCCAAAGAAGACATGCAGATGGCCAACAGACACATGAAAAGATGCCCAACATCATTTATCATCAGGGAAATGCAAATCAAAACCACAATGAGATCATACGTCAAGCCTGTTAGAATGGCTAAAATTAAAAAAGCGAGAAAAACGTGTTGGTGAGCATGTGTCAAAAAAGGAATCCTCTTGCACTGTTTATGGGAATGCAGTCAGAGAAATAAATATCATATGGTTTCACACATATGTGGAATTGAAGAACTAAAATCAACAAAGAACAAAAAAAGACAAACCAAAAAAAATAAAAAGGTGCGGGGATGCCTGGGTGGCTCAGTCGGTTAGGCGTCTGCCTTCAGCTCAGGTCATGGTCCTGGGATCCTATGATCGAGTCCCACATCAGGCTCTTTGCTCAGCAGGGAGCCTGCTTCTCCCTCTGCCTTCCGCTCCCCATGCTTGTGTGCTCTCTCTGGTCCTCACTCTGACAAATAAAATCTTCAAAAAAACCCCAAACAGATTCTTAACTATGGAAAAGAAACATGGTTACCAGAGGGGAGGTAGGTGAGCGGATAGGTGAAACAGATGAAGGGGATTAAGAGTACACTTACCATGACGAGCGCTGAGTAATGTATAGATTTTTTTTAAAAAGATTTTATTTATTTGACAGGGTACAGCAGAGGGAGCAGCAGGCAGAGGAAGAGGGAGAAGCAGGCTCACTGAGCAGGGAGCTTGATACAGGGCTTGATCCCAGGACCCTGGGATCATGTCCTGAGCCCAGGGCAGACGCTTAGGTCTGGGGTGGGGCCTGAGAATGTGCATTTCTAGTAATTGTCCAGCGATGTGGTTTCTGTTGGTCTGGGGCACACACTTCAAGGACCACTGCTCTAAAGGAAAAGGGCCTCTTCCCTGAGGCCAAGGTACTGGCTGCAATTTAATTATTCTCCCTATTTTTTTCAAAATTAAAATACAGTTCATATAACATAAATTCATCTTTTTAAAGTCTACAATTCAGGAGCACCTGGGTGACTCAAGTCGGTTAAGTGTTTACCTTAGGCTCAGGTCATCATCCTGGGATCAGGCTCCCTGCTCAGGGGGGAGCCTGCTTCTCTTTCTCTCCCTCTGCCTACCGCTCCCCGAGCTTGTGCTCTCTCTCACTGTCAAATGAATAAATAAAATCTTAAAAAAAAATAAAGTATACAATTCAATGTTTTGTAGTATACTCACAAAGTTGTAATCATCATCACTAGTTCCAGAATATTTTTATTTATTTATTTTACTGTTTTTTTTTAAATTTAATGAAACTTTTTTTTAAAAGATTTTATTTATTTATTTGACAGAAAGATCACAAGTAGGCAGAGAGGCAGGCAGAGAGAGAGGAGGAAGCAGGCTCCCCGCTGAGCAGAGAGCCCGATGCGGGCCTCGATCCCAGGACTCTGGGACCATGACCTGAGCCGAAGGCAGAGGCTTTAACCCACTGAGCCACCCAGGCGCCCTATTTTACTGTTTTTTAAAAAGATTTTATTTATCTGTTTGTGAGAAAGAGAGAGAGCGTGCGCGAGCATAAGTAGGGGGAGTGGCAGGCAGAGGGAGAAGCAGGGTCCCCATTGAGCAGGGAGTCCAATGCCAAACTCAGTCCCAGGACCCTGGGATCATGACCTGAGCTGAAGGCAGACGTTTAACCAACTGAACCGTCCAGTGTTCCATCCAGAATATTTTTATTACTCCAGAAGAAACTCTGTACCCTTTGGCAGTCTCTCTTCATTCCCTTCATCCCCCACCTACTCAAAACCCCTAATCTACTTTCTGCCTCTTTAGATTGGCCTATTCTGGACTTTTCATGTAGGTGAAATCATGCAGTGTGTAGCCTTCTGTGTCTGGCTTCTTTCATTTTGCATAGCATTTTTGAAGTTTATCCATGCTGTAACATGTGCAATTTGATTTGAACTGATTTCTGAGCAGAAAACTCTGTGTCTTTGAGCTAGCTTTCTTAGGATAGGAGATCTGGCTTCAGCTTTGCCCATTTCCAAAGACAAATAGGAAAAACATTACCAGAGCTAGCCAGAGCTTGGAAGCAATTCAACACTGATGTTCTTTCAAGAACTGACAAACTTTTCCTTTCCTTCCCAGCTCCTTAAACTTCCTGGCATTCCTCCTCCCTATATAGGCAGTGGCTCTTTTGGAAAAATCTGAAGTATGTGGTGGCTACATTTTAGAGACACTTCAAAAAGCACTCATTCAAACTGCATCTCAGCTTCCTTCCGTAAGACCTCTCTGCTTTCTTGAGTTGGCACCTGTGGGATATGGAAAGCGAAGTGGTTAGGGTGACTCAAACGCCTTCATGTGGGAAGTGCTAATCCAGACTTGAGCAGGGTTTAGTATTTGTTCCATCCAGTGGCTCAGTTTGAGCTCTCAGGTAAAGAGTGAAAGGGAAATTAGGGTAAAAACTCCTGTATTTGCTGAATTGACATTATTGGGTTTCCTCATGATGATGATGCCTGGCTTTTACAAAGGAGGACTTACAAAACCTTGAGGCCAGGACTGAGACCCTGTGCTGTGAAAATAATTTGGCCCTTGTCTAATACTGAATCTTTGTTTCTTCCCCAGGGAGCTTGATTTTGGTATGGATGAATTTCCAAGGCATTTGAGATCAGCAAAAATACTTGTCACCTTTTGTAACACTTAGGAAAGCAGGATCAAGAAGAGGCAGAACCAATGTCTTCACTCTTACCTGTTTCCCACTTTGCCACCATTTAAGCCAAGAACAAACTCCCTCTGGGCTCAGCCACGGGCTAGACTAGGCCAACCTGCAAAATGCTTTGGCAGGATTTTGAGAGGAAATTGGCAGCTCCAGGCATCTGGCTTCTTTGGCATGGGTCTTCATTTGTTCATTCATTTTACCAACATTGTTGGGCTCATGGTTGGGCCTTGTACAGGATGTTGTAGGGTCAAAAAAATTTTTTTTTTTTTTAGAGAAAGACGGTGTGCTATACAAAAAACTGCAGATTTAGTGGGAGAGGTCAGCTAGGCAGATATTACAGATCAGCTACAGTGTGTGTTAGTGTTATGAGAATCCGGAAGAAGAAACGAGAGGGATGGGAACTAGGAGTTTATAAACAGAAAACTGTATGTGCAGTGTGTACTATAGCATTGCACACTGGAGACCTCTTTAAGTGTTTGGTGTAAGTGGAATGTGTGGGAAAATGTAGTGGCAGCAGATGAGATTAAAAAGAAGTAGGCAGGGATCAGGGCACAAGAGAGAACCATATTGAGTAGTTCGGATTAAATATTCCGTAGGTAGTTCAAGTATTTTAAGAGGGAAAGCTGGGGCGCCTGGGTGGCTCAGTGGGTTAAAAGCCTCTGCCTTCGGCTCGGGTCATGATCCCAGGGTCATGATCCCAGGGTCCTGGGATCGAGCCCCGCATCGGGCTCTCTGCTCAGCGGGGAGCCTGCTTCCTCTTCTCTCTCTGCCTGTCTCTCTGCCTCCTTGTGATTTCTGTCTGTCAAATAAATAAATAAATCTTTAAAAAAAAAAAAAAGAGGGAAAGCTTTAAGACAATGCCTTTTGGTTTTGGGTCATAGCGGATCCTTGCTGTGGAGTGCAGCAGTAACTGAGAGGGAAGAATTGGCAACGAGGACCAGCAGGGAGACCATTTGTATTTAGCAAGAAGATGAGAATATGGATGGAAACAATGGGAGAGGATTTCAGAGCTGTTTCCGAGGCAGAGTCAATATAATTGGGTTCCTGCAACTTGGGGCGACCCACCACCGTGCCTCAAGTAAAGGTATCATTTCAGAGAATTCAAATTGACCTAAGCTACCACCCGGGCACTTTGAGACAAGAAGAGGGACCCTGGTACCCAGGGCTGAGCTTCAAATAAAAAACGTCAAAAGAGTTTTAGATTGCAGTTGTTCTTTATTTAAGGAGCGCCCGGTTACCTTCTAAAACAACTTCTTTTCCAATACTCTTTAGAATCACCATACCCCTTCCCTTTCTTTGCTCAAGTGCAGAAATCTAGTACTTCCGCCACGCTCAAGATGGCTGCACTCGAATTAGATTTTTTTTTTTTTTTTTCAATGTTGGTGCCAGATGGTCCCGCCCCCCCATCGGACTACTTCCGCCACTCTCTGTGGCGTGGGACGCCTTCACCCCGCCATGCAGCACTCAAGATGGCCC